ATTTTTCTCAACATTCTCCTTTATCTTTTATTAATTGGTGAGAGGGTATTTCGAGAGTTTCTTTGATTTTCATGGAAAATAGCAAAGTAGTGGAAGAATTGGCTGTTTTTTGTGTGTGAATAATTTGGAAGGCTAGAAATAAAATGGTGTTTGAAAAGGAAGTTTGGAATCCTTTGGTGGTGGCCGGCTAATCTAGCTACGGATTGGATGTGGGAATTTCTACTTGTGCAGAAAAAATGCCTAGCGTTTGATTCTTCTATAAGTTGTTTTGTGTCCTCTAATCGTTGGACATGCCCGTCGTGTGGTCTGATTAAATGTAATGTGGATGCTAATTTTAAAAATACCTCGTTGTTATGTGGTGGAGGGGCGGTTTTTCGAAGATCTAATAGATCTGTTCTTAAAGCAGTGACATTTAAACCAATCTCTTTCTTTTCCGTTAGCAAAGTTGAGTCTTTTTGCTTTTTCTCGTGCTGTGTATTGGGCCAAATCTTTTAAGTTTCATGATGTCTGCTTTGAGACGGGTGCTAAGGTGGTGGTAGAAGCTATTGCGGGAATGTGATATGGTGATGGTGCGTGCTTACCTTTGGTGTCTGAGCTCCGGAAGGAGTTGCGCACTTCCGCTTCGTTTACTTTTGCACAAGTTCGAAGGGGAGGTAATAAGGTGGTCCATGCTTTAGCTGGTCTTTCGAGTGTTGACATGGAAGAAGATTTAGTGCTCTATTCGGTACCTCCTTTTATATCTCAGCTTTTGGCAGATGATGATGCTGGTTCAGTTTGAGGGTTGTTTTATTTTTGTGTGGTTGTTGCCAGGAAAAAAAAAATAATAATAAAAATAAAAAAATTATTTGACCCTCAACATTTTATATTTTTAGAGGCGACGGGATATACCATTAGATTATATCATTTTAAATTAAACTTGTTGATGTTGATTCCATAAGAATACACACAACTATTTAGTTATAAAATATGATTACTTCTTGGAGTGAAGAACATAACTGAGAATTTGATTCATGAAAACAACAATTGTTGAGACCGGAGAGAGTATCACGAGTCATGACCTTAAAATCTAGGAGACGACCAAGGGCGGATCCAGGATTGCTGATTGGGGTGGGCTAATTTAGGATTGGGCTAATTTTGGGTGGACTAAATTTTTTTTTGGGTAGGGTGGGCTGAAGCCCACCTTCGTCCACCCCTCCCTCCGCCCTTGGAGACGACTAGGAAGGACTAACGAAGAAAATTTTGGATTAATAGTAGTGTCAGTTTGTACGGCGTCGATCTAGTGGTAAACCAACAAAGAGGGGTTGTGGACCTTTTCCTTGAAAATGGACCCCACAATTCTATCGCAAGCAATGAAATTGGATTCACTCTTTTTTAAATGCCTTCTATTGAGCAACACACCCACCTACTTGGCCATACTGTGGTGTCTCTCTATACGTTGAGGGCTCGAAAATGAATATTGGTAGGGGGGTCGCAATTTAAGTTCAAGTTTAAATTCCTCCATTAAAATTAAATTAAATTATTTGGATATTTAAAATTAAAGAAGTAGGTTAATAATAAGTAAAACATAGGTATCCATTGCATTCAATGGTGGGTTAAGAATGGGTATCCATCTTAACCTTTTCAAATAAAATTCTTTGTTTTTTTTTTTTCTCTTTCTTCTCTCCTTTTTCTCTCCTTTGTTTTTTCGGTTTTTTAATTGTAAAAAAATAAAAATTGTTAACGATTGAAATAAAAAAATTAATGTAAATATATATATATATATATATATATATATTTGTTATTCAACAATCATAATAGTAATAATACTATTGGAAGTGTAGGTGTTCTAACATCATTAATATTAATATTTTTTGTATCTGTCGGTGTCTCTCTCTATTATTATTTTTATCCCTTCTCCTTTTTTTTTTTTTTTGATCTCTCTTCTTACTTTCTCTTCCCCATGTTTCTCTCTCTCCTCTCCGTTTCTTTCTCCTCCTAAATCTTTTTTTTTTTTAAAGATAAATAAAAAATTATTTTTTCTTTTAAATTTATTTATTTTATTTTTTTGCTATGATAACTCTCCCATTTTATATCTTCTCCCTTTTACCTCCCTCCTCCTATTCTCTCTTTCCCATGTTTCTCCCATTTATCTCTCTTCCGTTTTCTATCTCTCTTTATTTATTATTATTATTTTTGGGCTTTGTAACTCTCAAAGTAAGTTGTATAGTGATTTTTTCCCAATAAATAATAATAAAAAAGATAAAAAAATTGTAAAAAGTGAGACCAAAAAATTAATAAATTTAATATAAAACATATTTTTATACTTTTTTTTTTTGGTATTCAACTTTTAAAATAATTTCACAACTTATTTCTAAAAATATTTGGATAATTGTGTTGGGTGTATGTTAGCTAACCCATTTAACACTCAACCTTTTCCTTATTAACTCACACATTCATGGTCAGTCGAAAATTTGTCCAAACCCACCCAATTTTTACCCCTAATATTGATGAGGGCTTAAATTGTGAAGCTTAAAACAAATTACATAATAAGTGGGAACTTTTAAAATGTTGTTACTTGTGAGTATTTAGGGATAAATTCATAAAACCCCTTTTGTAGTATTCATTTGGCTTTTGTTTTTATTTTTATTTTATTTTTTACAATATCTCCTAAACGATTGAATCACCCCTACTAACAAATTTTACACAAGGATGATTAGTAATCTGGTGGCTCATGCTTTTTATTTATTTATTTATTTATTTTTTGTTAAAATAAATCAACACATTTACTTATATATATTATGTTTTCACTGATTCTCGAACATTTACCGCTCGAATGCTGAGGAGAGAGGTCGTTGGTTTGCACTATGACGATACCTGACAACCATTGGATGGTTATCTGATCTTCCCATCATCATATAATTGATTAAAGAATTCAATTATAAAGAAACATAAAACAAATTAAATTAATTTGACATGATTCACGTGCTAGAAAATTCAAATCTGTCAAATAAAAGAAATTATAAAGTTCAATAGTCACGAGATCACTTCTTGTAAATAGACTTTGACATGAAATTTCAATTCTTGCATGATCTTCTATGCACAATCACATGTTTGTTTCCAAAATTTGTGCATTTGATCAAGTGTAAATGAAAATAAAAAAATAGTAGAAATGTGACTTTAACTTGACTGTAACATTTGGTAGTTAATTAGGACTTTAATTCAAACTTGTTGATTCTACAAGAATATTAGTAATATTTAATACGCAACTGTTGTTTTCAAAAAATGTGAGATTAGGTCTAGAAGTGAGAATTTGATTGATGAAAAGAAGTCATGGTCTTGAAATCTGGAGATGAATAGGACTTGTCAATGAAGAAAATATTGAATTAATATTGTCCTTTAAATTGGACCGTACAAGTCTATTACAATCAATGTGAACATTTAAATAAAAAATTTAAAAAATTTGAAGAACAAGAAAATGAAATTTAAGAGCTAAAGATTTCAATTGGCAGTGACATATTATTGGATTGAATTGGAATAATAGCGGAAGAAATTTAAGGAGTGGGCTCAAGTTGGTAAGCCAGGTTTAAGGTTCAATTCTTTTTTAGTGCGAACAATTTTTAGAATAGGTGTGTAAGTATCACCAATCTACTAAGAAAAAAACAACAAATATACTAATAATAGCAAAGGCACACAAAATTGTTTTTGAAGAAAATTTAAAGGAATATGAAATGCTTAACATAAGAATAATTATAAAATAGATTTATTTATATATATATATATATATAAATAAAAAATAAAAACTAAATATAGCCAAGAAAAACACACATACAAAACAGAGAATATATAAAAGTGTCAACATCAATTAGTTGCATTTCATTACTTCACCTCTCCTTGGTTTTGCTTTTGGATAAGTTAGTTTCTATTTTTCAACTTTTTTTTTAATATTAATTATATCCGCACAATCACCTCACCTCTAATCTGAATGGTATCATCTCTCATTTTTAAAGGAGAGGTTGATACTTTGACGGTCCACGCTACAAGAAAAGTGAGTTTTTACGATATTTTATTTACGGGAATTGTTTATTTTACCTTGTGGAAACTATTTTTGACGAGGATTATGAGAGGATCCTCGTGATTGTTACATAAAGAAAAATGTTTTCATAGGAATTTAGCAAGATCCTCGTGGAAAATTTTTTTTACGGCATTTTAAAGTCCTCGTGGATATTTAAATATATTAAGAGCATTCTTCTTCAACTTTAACCGAAGAAGTAACCCTTGTTAATAAAATGTTAAAATTTGACATTTAAGGAACATTTTTTGTCCCGTGAATAAGTAAAAAGGGTTTCCAAATTTCTTTTACTCTCCCGCCAAATTGGGCACAATAAAAACTACACTAAAATTTTTTTTACGGCGTTTTAAAGTTTTCGTGGATATTTAAATATATTAAGGGTATTCTTGTTCAACTTTAACGAGACAAATAATTGTTGTTAATAAAGTATTAAAATTTGACATTTAAGGGATATTTTTTGTCCCGTGAATAAGTAAAAAGACTTCCCTCCAAATTTTTTACCCTCCCGCCAAATTGGGCACAATTAAAATTGCACTTTATTTTATTTTATTTATTTATATATTTTTTAACGGCTTTTTAAAATCGTCGTGGATATTTAATAACATTTAAGGGATATTTTTTGTCCCGTGAATAAGTAAAAAGACTTCCCACCAATTTTTTTTACCCTCCCTCCAAATTAGATACAATTAAAATTACACTTTATTTTATTTTATTTTTTATTATTTTTTTAACAGCCTTTTAAAATCCTTGTAGATATTTAATAATATTTAAGGGATATTTTTTATCCCGTGAATAAGTAAAAAGACTACCCACCTTATTTTTTTACCTTCCCTCCAAATTCGGCACAAATAAATAAAAAGACTTCCCACCAAATTTTTTTTAACCTTCCTCCAAATTGGAAACAATTAAAATTACACTTAAAAAATATATATATAAATAAATAAAAAACCTAATCCACATTTCGCATTACTAGGGGAGCAAAAAACCTCAAACACAGAAGAAGAGGGGAGAGACAAATCAGAGGGGAGCGGCGACGAAGAAGAGGGGAGCGGCCACCAGCGAAATTTCTTTTCCCTCTTTCAATCAAACCTAACGTTTCTCTCCGTGAGCCTCTTTCAGTTGGCCGTTGATCGAAGCAAGCGGCAAGCCCTAAGCCCTAAATGATAACGCATGGCTCAGAGACGAAACCCTAAGTCTGAAGATTGTGTTTGAATTTCTCTAACCTCTCTCGCCTTTTGTCTGATCGGTAAGCAACCCTAATTTATCTATGTCTAATTTACTTCCTCTTGATTTCTTTTTCACACATGAGTTGTACACACTGACACACAATCGCGCGCGCACACATGTATTTGTATTTGTGTATATATATTGAACTGAAAGTCTAAAATACACAGTCGTCTCTCTGTCTCTAGGAAGGGAAAGTCTTGTTGGTGTTTGCTGGTTCAATAAGTGAGAATCTGAAGGAGGAGGAAACCCAGAGCTCTCTCTTCTCTCCTGGTGTGTTTCACCCACAATCTCTCTCATTTATAAGAAATGTTTATAAATATATACTTACTTACATGTGAATATGATGTTTTTCAGTTTGGTTTTGAATCTCTATTGATGTTTTATTTTTATTTTTTTTAACCTAAATCTGTTGATTCTCAAACTGAATGAGAGAGGAATTTGAATTCTGTATCTTAGATATTATTGTTCGCGATACTACTTGGTTAGGCTCCTCATATTCATGTTTATGCAATAAAACAACTTATATCTGGTATATCAACCCACAAAACCTAAGAACTATGAAAAGGAGACTATACCAGTACCTGTTAAAAGCTTAAGACATTTCATTTGTGGTAATAATGAATTCAAGAAGTTGAATATCTCATACTTTTTGTGAAGATTATAGGTTAACAAACAAGTCAATTAAAATCATTTATTCTGAAAGAATTGAAACTCACAATAAGAGAATTTCAGTTAGTTCTATCATATCAGGTATGCCCTATTTACCTCAAGAATGCCTTTCAAACCTTCATTCGAAATATTCAACAAGTTAAGATACATAATATGTTTTAATTTATGCCGTATAAAATTTTAATGGATCCACTGAATTAATTAAAATACATATAGTATTATAGTCCATAACCATATGGTACACCATTTTCATATGTAGCTTAATATTATTTCAGCCATATATTAATTTCAATTCTAATTTCATCAAATAGCTTTGTTGGATTTTCCTTGCTAGCTATACTAGTCAGTTAACATGAAAGCTACACATTCTCTCTCTCCCCTGTCCATTTGTTTAAACTATGGTGCATTAATTAGAAAAACTCAGATTGTGTGATCATACATATTTGACATTTGCTAAATCATCATTTTGATGATGTAGTAATTCATGGTGTCCAGTTGATCTTGAAAATAATGAATGATACCTGGATTGCGGCGTGGATCCAATAGTCTTCCAAATGTGATTGATGTTTATGATTTGGTTACTTAAAACAATGAATGATTCTCAAAGTGCATTTTTTTTTTTTTTTTTTTTTTGAAAAGTCAAGCAATTTTATAGATGTGAAGAAATACAGCGCACAAAAGAAAAATACAAAAGAGAAAATGACCCCTAAGGGGCCCAAGCCAACCAACAAACAGCCCAAATAAGGCCCAAAGCTTAATAGCTTGAAACAAACAACCAAAGTTGTTGATCAAATCCGGTAAAGCAAGCCAACGCAGGCAACAAGCAGCATCAAGCTTTCAAAACTTTCAGAGCTGCAGAGAAGACCCATCTGGAGGTCGAGGGGGAGGGCGAATGAAGGAAGAAGGAAGATCCCAAACATGACTGGCACGCCGAGCAGCCACACCATCCTTGAATGATAGAGGCAGGAGCCGTTCTCTGATGGAGGTCATGATTTTGAACAAGACAGAGTTCTGAGAACTTGAAATGTCTTTGAAGATTCTCGAGTTCCTTTCTGCCCAGATGTGATAAATGGATGCTGAAAGTGCCAATTTGTTTTTGGCATTTGCAATGTTTTTGGATGACCAGTGATGTGAAGCCCAAAAAATGAAGTCATTCCACTGTGATCTTGTGTTGAAGCCGCATGTATTTTGCAAATAGGACCAAATTGGAGCAGTAAATGAGCAAGAGAAAAAGATGTGATTCAGTGATTCTCCAGAGGAAAGGCACAGTGATTCTCAAAGTGCATTTTTGAATATGTATTATTATGCCAAAGGAAAAGAGTCTGATCTTTTAATGTGTATTATTACACTAGCTTTATGGGCCACGGAAGCCCATTTTTCCCTTGTGTTTTTCTTTTTCCTTCAGTTCCTCCGATCTTATTCTTATGTTTTTAATCATTAGCATGATTGAATGTTTTAAAGCTTCATTACTACTTGGTCATTAAATTCTTGGTGCTTGGAAATCATAGAACCAAAAAAAAAAAACACAAAGGGTTTGTGCTAATCTTTGGTCAATAAAACCTATTAAAAAACAGAATTTTAGTACACTCATTTTTTCTTTTCAGAACTTCAACTATCACCTTTTTGATCTGTTTAAATATCTAACTATTACATCAAATTTCTATTTATGCCTAATTTGAAGTTCAGTGAAGCATAAATATAAGTGTTTGAAATTAGAACAAAATTGATAACGGAAAACCTCAAATCAATTACTCCTAGAATTGATTATCATAAATATAGTTATATATTCTTCTTCCTAGAATTTTGACAATTTTTTTTTTATCTTTTGTGATAATTAAGCAAATAGTGATGGATAAAGAATGGATGCACAAAATAATTAAGCAAATAGTGATGGATAAAGAATGGATGCATATGACTTACAGGTTATTATATGTAGTGGAGTGTGCTTATAAAAGTTAATATTGTTTACACTAATTTTATGTTTAATTAAATGTTAAAGTTTTAATTTTATAGAGTTGATCCAAAGTATTTAGAAGGAGCACGGAGGTTTGTTAATCAAGCGCAAGGGAATGCGGGCCATCCAGAAAAGATTTTATGCCCTTGTAATTGTTTTCTAAATGCAAAGCACCAATACTTCGACATGGTGTTTAGGCATTTATTGGAAAATGGAATGGATCAATCATACACGATCTGGTACTTTCACAGGGAAAATCTGAGTAAATCTCCCCAACGTGGAAGTGATGTAAATGACGTTGAAATGCCAGAAACGTATCAGATGTATAGAGATATTTTCTTTGATGGTGATGATTATAATGTTTCGAATCCAAACTATAAAATAAGAGAGGCTAAGTTTAAAAAGGAGTTGGAATATGCTGAGACCCCTTTATTTCCATAATGCACAAAGTACACGATTATGTCTGCAATTGTTGCCTTATACAAGCACAAAGCAACAAATAATTTATCCAACACTGGTTTTGATGGACTTCTTCAAATGTTTGGGAATATGCTAATATACTTCCGGAAAATAACAAACTTCCATGCCAATTCATCCGAATAAAAAAAGTAGATTTACTAGAATATTATAAGATATTACAAATAAATTTGAACATTAATTTTGACAGGTTAAATCATCAATACTTATAGATGATCTAATAATTTATTCATACTAAGAATATATTGCAAATAATGAGTGTGTGTACATTTTAATCTCAAAAAAATAAAAAAAATAAAAAATAAAATAAAAAATACAACTCCCTGTCATTATATATATCCATTTTTTCCCCTTGTACAACCATACAAAATGAGAAAGTATAGATAGAGATCAATGTGGGGTTGGAAAAAGGAATAGGATATTTGGTACTACATATCTGATTAGAATCAAATAGCTAGAGTTGTCTTTGAATCAAATAGCTAGAGTTGTCTTATTCAAAGAAAACATAAAATAGTATGTGGTGTGTATGTTTATGAGGTTTAGCATGGATGGACCACCGGAAATTTGGGCCGGTGGAGATTGAGAAAGACCTGAGTGGGATGAAAGGTCCAAAACGCGGAAAATAATTGGGCCCCACCCACCTGCAGACTGCCAACTGAAATGACGAAAAGAAAAAAGGGAGTGGCTGTGAGGTGGGACCCAAATCTAGAACCCAACTAAAGTTCCACCGGAATAACTAATTACTTACCCACCACTCTTACGTTCCTCTCATTGACTCAATCCAACGGACAGTCGCCACGTGGACCCCATACATTGGAGCCTCCTCATCAAGTCTATTAAATAAAAAATAATAAAAGAAGAAGAAAGAAAAAACGTACTGTTATACTTTTTGTCCCTCCACCATCTAGAAAGATGAAAAGTAACCTTTCGTAAAAAGAAAAGATTAGCATGCATTAAATTTCTATTAAAGTTTTTTTCCCCATATTTTTTGGCAGTTTTAGAGCTACTAGATTTTTTTTTGCATCTTAGACCTAATTTAACTCAAATAAAATTTTTTGACGTGCATTAATCTAATAAAAATATTATTAATGTCCTATGAATCCAATGAATTAAAAACAAACTTCTATTTTTAAGAAATGAACCGATTTTAATTTTAAGAATACTGAAAAGTAGTCCAAAAATTAGACACATTTACTGTTTTATGTAAGCTCGCATCATTCAAAATCCGATGAAAACAAACTTCTAATCTCAAAAGATGAAACCACTTTATCAATAGGTTTTAATTTTAATCGATTGTTAAACATATTTTTAAAAAATATTGAAGTGCGTGGATTAATAGGTTAACTACTTCATGTTAGTATGAATGCAATCCAAAATTAATGGACGCTTAACAATAATTTTGTCAGGGGTCGTGAAAAATAGACTTTTGAAGTATAAAAAAATGAAAAATAGTAGGTTTGTGGTTACATCTATTGAAATTTAAAATTTTAGAGTCAAGTTTGGAGCTAGCACAAATGGCACTGTAATTTTGAAGTTTGTCATTTCTTTATTAGAGTCCCAAAGAAAAATAATCAATTTATTAATTCGCAATTAAGGATATTGAGATGCATGCGCACACGTTTTCTTTTTCTTTTATATGCCATCACACTTAATTAGTTTAACCATAATTAACAAAGACTTTTAACAAGGGGTTTAATTCTCTAACCCTTTAACTATGGAAGGGTTGAGTGTTAAAGTTTCCTTGAAAATTAGTGAATGTTTCTAGAGCTTATGATGAAACTGTTTGAGGCTATATATAACAAAAAAAAAACTTACAATTAGGATGTTCCGTAAGGAAAATTTTCTCATAATCAAATTTTAGAAAATCAAATGTACACGGTCTTATCTTCGTATATAAAGAATTTTTTTTTTTTTTTTTCATTTTCAAGCTTGACTTTAGATCACAATGAAGTAACTTTAACGACCCCCAAAACTTGTTTGAATGGGGTGATTTTAAACAATAATGAGGTTAAGTGTGAGAGAGAGAGAGAAAAAAAAAAAAAAAAAAAAAAAAAAAGGGGGCAGTGGAAACAAAAGATAAAGTTATGGGTGTATTTATATATTTACTGAAGATTTTTGTAAGTAAAAATAAGAATTGTTAAAATTTCAGTGGTATACTTGCCCCACTGAATCACAAATGGTTCCGTCCTTGGTTACAGTTGTGCTATACAACTAGTTATAGTTATGCTATACAACTTAAAGAGTTCGGACAGTCTTATTAGTTACATGATTATGAGAAGATTGATCTCAAGCGAATCACTATTAAATATTATAGTAATTGTGTTGACAATATGTAAATTATTTGTAACTTTTTACTCATATATTTAACGGGAATGGACGAAAACCAACAATAATCTTGGAACCATCTAAAAATATCTCCATACAGTGCTTCCCAACACCTACCCCTCTAGAAACTCAATATTAATCGTAATTACGTGTAGCATAGTACCATTAGACTCTGTGACCAACTTTTGCACATTTTGTCTGTCGTCTTCTAGAAGACTAATAACAGTATCGTCCTCTTTTTTGCCTTCCCTTTAGTTAATCCATACGTAAAAGGTTATTCTAGAAGTTGTCCCCATCAATCAAACGATTCAAACCATCAGTAAACATGCAACCTCTCTCTCTACATCGTTATAATATATGTATACATACACATAAATGTCTGCTCAATTTACAACTCACCAAATAACCTCTCTACTTGCTGCTATCCATTTGGATCCATTTGATATAGCGTTCTTATATATGCAAGCTCCAATGGAACACAACCCTAACCCTAACCCTAACCCTAACCCTAACCCTAATTACATTCCAGACTCTGATGAAGCAGAAGAGAGACTCTCTTTTTGTGATCTTCCCATGTACAGCGACGTCGCTGATTGGGAAAATCTCTATACACAAGATCAAACATCGTATTCATCGTCTGAGCAAGACTACTTCGAGTTCTTCGGCGACGAATGGAATACCACTACTGATGCTGCTACAACTTATCCGCCTCGAAACATCATTTTTTGTGGGAAGCTGATTCCTTACAAAGAATCGGTATCTTGTGAGAAGAGTCGACATGAGCTCGAAAACAATGAGCAACAAAAGCACGAAAAGCGAGGGCTCTTCCGTTGGAACTTGAGCTCCTTCACCAAACGTAAGACCATGAAATCCGGTAAGAGTGACGACAAGTGTGGCTTTAAGGTTCAAAAAGTGAAGCTAGTGACTTCGCCGTCCAAGTCTAGGTGGTACTTGTTCATGTTTGGGTTGGCTAGGTTTCCGACGGAGATGGAATTGAAAGATATGAAAAGGCGGCGGAACCGGCAAGCTGGGCCGACGTTGTTCTGGTCAGATGGTGGCGGTGATAAGAGCAGAGGGAAGGGGTGGGGTTTGGTTCGGGCTTTGGGTTGTGGTAGCGGCGGTCAGTACACAGACGCCGTCGTTAAGGCGTCACTTGGTGGCACATTGTGAGTTTTGACTGTTTGGTCCTCGCACGTGTTTTTTGAGCGCGCCGGGATTGAAGGACAACGTCGATGTTGCCAAGCCCACTCGCATTTTTGATATCGTGTTTCGAACGCGCTCCTCATTGGCCTAGGTTAGTTAGAATGTGTGGATAATGTGTATTGATAAGACTATAGATGTGGACATGGGTTGTTATTGCAAAATGTCATTGTGATTATAAATAATATACACCTTAGATAAATTTTATGTATATACATGAAGGACTTTAACTTTGCAATTTTTTTTATAAAAAATTTAGAGACAATTAAAATGAAAAAAATCACGTACTTAATTTATGCTGTAAATCAACAAATTAAGGACGAGTGCAGTGTTAAAACAATATAATTATTTGCATAAATAAGAAATATGGACGAGGAAAAATAAAAACCTTGAAATATTAGACCCGTAAAAATGCCAAAAAAAAAATTTCTCTTTAACTCCACAACAATAAGTTTCAAGAAAATTGTTGTTTTTGCATGTAATTGATTTCTTCCCAATTTGTCTCACCCAATAATCCCTTTGTACATATGATACTTAAATAAATAGGATTTGTATTCTCAAATTATTCAAGTATAAAAACTCAACTTTTAGTCCAGTAGTATAATCTCTCAACCCGTAAAAAGAACGGGAAGTTTCCGAACTTGGGCATGAGCAAAAATGTGTGTGAGTACTTACCAAATCAAGAAGAATTTTTTTTTGTTTTTTAAATGGCTCCAGAACCATGGGTCTTGACCACCATGGTTTAATTCGCTTCCCCTTTAATATGGAAGGGTTGAGTGTTAAAGTTTCCTTGAGGCTATAAAAAAACCTATTACAATTAGGATGTTTAGCAACGAAACTTTTCTCATAATCAAAATTAAGAGGATCAAATATAAATGGTCTTATCTTCATATATAAAGAGTTTTTTTTATTATTATTATTATTATTTTCAAGCCTAACTTCAGGCAAGGACACAGTCAATAAATTTTTTTATCAGAGGGGGCACATTGTAGTATAGTAGACCATAACATAAATTTACAATATAAATACATTATTATTATTAATTTTTATCAGAGACAACATGAAATAGTATGTGGCGGCCCACCAGAAATTTGGGCCGGTGAAAGATTGAGAAGGTCCTGAGTGGGATAAAAGGTCCAAAACGTGAAAATAATTGGGCCCCACCCATCCGCAAACTGCCAACGGAAATGACGAAAAGAAAAATGGAAGTGTCTGTGAGGTGGGTCCCAAATCTAGAACCCAATTAAAGTTCCACCGGAATAGCTAATTACTTACCCACCACTCGTACGTTCATCACATTGACCTGGTCCAACGGACAGTCGCCACGTGGATCCCATACATTGGAACCTCCTCATCAAAATCTAAAATAAATAAATAAATAAAAAAGAAAAAGAAAAAACAGAAAAACGTACTGTAATACTTTTTCTCCCTCCACCGTCTAAAAAGATGAAAAGCAACCTTTCGAAAAAATAAAAGAAAAATATGTATTAAATTTCTATTAATTTTTTTTTTTACCCATTTTCTGGCACTTTTCGAACTTTTAGAATTTTTTTTTGCATCTTAGACCTAATTTAACTCAAATTAAAAAAAATTTGACTTACATTAATGTAATAAAAATATGATTCTTCTCCTATGAATCCAATGAATTAAAAACAAACTTCTTTTTTTAAGAATTGAATTGATTTTAATTTTAAAAATACTGATAAGTAGGTCAAAAATCGAACACATTTATTATTTTATGTGAGTAAAGAATGACATTATCGTGTCATTCAAAATCCAATGATTTGAAAGCAAACTTCGAATCTCAAAAGATGAAACGATTGATCCATGCACTTTGATATTTTTTAAAATATATTTAACAATCAATTAAAATTAAAACCTACTGATAATGGACGTTTAACAATAATTTTGTCGGGGTCTTGAAAAAGAGGCTTTTGAAGTATTAAAAAATGAAAAATGGTAGGTTTTGTGGTTACATCTATTGAAATTTAAAATGTTGGAGTCAAGTTTGGAGCTAGCACAACTGGCACTGTAATTTTGAAGTTAGTAATTTCTTTATTAGAGTCCCAAAGAAAAATAATCAATTTCTTAATTCGCAATTAAGGATATCGAGATGAATGCGCACACGTTTTTTTTTTTTCTTTTATATGACATCACACTTGATTAGTTTAACCATCACTGACAAATTAAGACTTTAACAAATGATTTAATTAATTCTCTAACGCTTTAATATGGAGTGTTAAAGTTTCGTTGAAAAATAGTGGATGTTTCTAGAGCTTATGATGAAACTGATTGAGGCTATAAAAAAAACTCTTACAATTAGGATGCTCAGGAACGAAAATTTTCTCATAATCAAAATTTAGATGATCAAATATACACTGTCTTATCTTTATATATAAAAAGATTTTTTTTATATATATATTATTTTCAAGCGTGACTTCAGGCAGGGAAGGAGCCACAAATTTTTTTTTAGATGGGACACATTGTAGTATAGTATACCATAACATAAATTAACAGTATAATGTACATGGATATAAGTCAATATTTATGAGTATATATATAGAAAGAGAGATATTTTTAGAATGAAATTAATTTACAAATATAGAATATAAGGATTAAGGAAATAATTTTGAATAAAAAATAGGAAACATATATATAATTTTACGAAGGAGATAATTCAGGGGGAACGTTTTTCATATTTTCATAAAAATATATATAGAATATAACAGTTGGAGAAAATTTAACCCTTGGACTTACCTCCCCTCGTTCTTGACTTCAGGTCACAATGAAGTAACCTGCTCCCAAAACTTGTTTCAATGGGGGTGATTTTAAGAGAGGGAGAAAATTTTCTCATAATCAAAATTTAGAGGATCAATACTTTGTAATTTTTCTTTAAATTCCTTTGTTTTTGTTTATGGAGTTACATAGATCACTAATTTTGATCATTATAGCAATAAACAAATGTCTATTTAACTATATATAAAAGATGCCATCTTAAGTATATTTGCCTTAGAGTGATGCAATGTGATGTTTATATAAAACACATATACAATTTGACATACACAGGGATGGCAAATTCTCCATCCCCGCCGGGTCCCTGCCCCGCCCCGTTTATAGCGGGGATGGGGACCCTTTTATGTAAACGGGAATAGGGATAAGGGTAAGTTTTGAAAACCCGGCGGGTGCGGGGATAGGGTAAATTCGCCCCGCCCCACCCCGATTAAATATTAACTTACTAATATACTTTTACATTTAATAATTTATTACGAAATTAGATTTATTATATATATGAAAATAAGAAAAATCATGTTATATATATATATATATATATATATATATATATATATATATATATAAATAATATATGTTAATCGGGGCCGGGGATGGGGCGGGGATGGGGATAAAAGGTCGGGGGAGGGGGCGGCTATGAGGGATGTGATACCCCTCGATTCTAGAGTCACGGGTGATCAAATCCGAGCACAGATCCGAGGGATACCAAACAATCAATATATAAACAAGTAGAAATAAAACTGAATTAAGAATAAAATAATAATGCGTTGAAAGAAATCTAAAATAAAAATCCTCAAACTTTAAATAATAAATTAATATTATTTAAAACTTTCAAATCCGTACAACTCGGGAATCCATCCAGTGGACCCCTAAAATTCCAACTGATAAACAAACTTACAGAATGAGTATCCAAAACTAAAATAAGAAAAGAAATCCTATGTAGTCGGAAGAGTGAGTGACTGTATCTGCATCACCACGATTAAGCCCTAAGCCTGGTACTCACAAACACCTGAAAAATAAAGGTGGGTCAGGCCCACATGTAAGTTCCATCCCACTACAATCCGTACATAAACCCGATACGCAGATACATCCTAAATAGCTCAGCAATATCTAAAATAGTCCATATATATATACACACTATAGGATGCTCACTAGCCTATAACATAGTTCAGCCTGGGTAAAAGGTGACATAAAAACACGCTTTTCAACAGCCAAGTACCTAGACCTACCAGGGAACATCAGCTATATCTAGATATCCAACCTTTGCGATATACGCACCCTAACCGTGATCAGGAGACTCAAGCTCGTATCACGGTACCATAAGTATATATATAAATTCCTTCCTAGTGCAGAAAGATAAAACAAATATCCATTATGTCATTCAACGGTTTTAGTTGATAGGACATGCATCCATGTAGGATTTAACTGTTTTAGTTAATCCATTCCTTATGTATAAATGGGTTGGAATTAGCGTTTTGACCTAATCCGTCCCTTCGTATGTCACCGTCCTATACCGGTACATACATGCATATGATCCACATATAATGCACATTCAAATAAACATCAAATATATCCAGAAACCAGCATAATAGAAAATAGATATTGTTAAGATCCTATCATGCATCCAGTATATGATTATAATCATTAATCCTCTAAATAAATTGTTAATGTAATGATAAACAATTTAAACCATCCATTTCCATATAATTGACAGAACAGAAATTACGACAGTTCAGCAATTATCATCTCTAACATAATATAATGGATATCAGAATTATAAACTGCACATTATACTAGAATTCTCAACCAATACATCCATACTAGTTCATTTACACTATTAAAACGAAGACTAGCATTTAAATCCTCCTCAATCCTTGTCGGCATGCAAATTAATATTTAATTCTCATTGCGACTATTTAATCCCCAACTGTAAGTCCAGAGTATACTCAAGTATATAAACTGAGCACACACACTCAAATTCTATCACCACACTCCTATTAGTCCGTTTACTTTGCTAAAACAGCCGCTAGCAACAACCCTTTCATATTCCGTGACGACATGCAAATTATTATTTAAAATTTCATGAAATTTATTAACACATTTAAATTCAACTTCTTGGGCCTTCATTTGGTTATATATATATAATCATATAACGTCTCACAAACAATTCAGTAACAGTT